TGTGGGCTGACTTGGGAATCAGCCCTTGACTGATGACATTGTTTCTATGGGAAAATGCATTCTGAGTGCCAAACATACAAGTGAACTTTTGGAACCTCATCCGTTCATTGGTTCAGGATTGCCAGTTTTGTGGAAATCCGTAACTGAACACATGGGCTTTGCTTTGCAATATGGGAGAAACTGAGAAACTGCTTCCCAACCCAAGATATTCAGCCTGCAAAAATTCACTTTCCACCCACACAGGCAAATTCATCACAGGTTGGATGTGAAGTTCCAACAATAAAATACTAAACTTTTTAGAGCTCATTGTTTATCTAGTTGCTTTTTATCAGCTTATATTGGATGCCTATTATTAACACCCCAACCAAAGGAAGTTAAGATCATTTTCTTGCCCCACCCCCAAAGAAATCCACTTTCTAGACACATATGCAAGAAAGCTCAACCTTCTCAACAGAGAAAATAAGTTATTTTTCTAAATAAATCTGCGGCATTTAAAATAAACACAGTGGGATGCTCTACAGTTATAAGAAAACATCCCCCTTTAGAATTCCTAATTTTGAATGGTACTGGAGCTTCATGTGAGTCACAGATCTGAAGCTTAGTTTATTAAATCTCAGGCCAGAACCAAGCCAGTGTGAAACCAAGTAATCTGACATGGGTGGGAAGGTCCGTCAGCCCACAAATCCAGAGTGCTTTATAATACTTAATGCACAAGTCTTCTGCCATTGGTAGAGTTTCCCAATCATTCTACTCTATTCATTTAATATATACCTACTATGTGCCAGGCACTGTTCTAGATCCTGGGGAATACGATAATGAACAAGACTAGGTCCCTATACAACTTACATTTTAGTAAAGGAAGAGGCAGAGAAATAAGATCATTTCCGATAGTGATGGGCCATGAAGGAAATAAAGCAGTGATGCCACTGAGTGAGGTGAGGCTACTTCAGGCTGGATGATCTCGTGGAGATGTGTGAGCTGGGATGTGATAATCAAGAAAGAGCCAACTGCGCAGAGAGCTGGGGAAGAGTCTTCTAGTCTGAGGAAATAGCCAGTGCAAAGTCCCTGAGGCAGGGACAAGCTTGGCATGTTCTTGAGTCAGAAAGGAAGCGGTGTGGCCAGGGGAGGTGGAGGAGAGGGTGGCATTAGAGGCTGAGAAGTAGCGCGGGGCCAGACTATGGAAAGCCTCGTACGCAGGCCCTGGGGGCAAGGGAGTCAGGCTGAACTCTAAGACGGAAGCCAGTAGAGGTTGTTAAGCTGGGAAATGGCACGGTCTGGTTTAGAGTTTAAAAGGCAGAGGTGAAGGAGTGAGAGCAGAAACAGGGCCAGCAGTGAGCAGGCTTTTATAGAAGCCCTGTGTCCTCAACCTCCTTCCTGGTTCTTCCTTTCACCTGCTCTTACGGAAACCTGGCTCTGCCTGAGACACGGCTTCCGTGTGGCCCGCTCAGGGCTGGCGGCTTCCTCTCCCCTATGGTAGGTGTCCTGCTTGCATCTTACCTTCCCTTTTGGAAACTTCTTCTTCCCTTCTTTCTAAGCCTGCCACAGCCCCCACCCCCATCTCTGAAGCTCACTCCATCAGTCCACATCACCCCAAATTCCTTCCTGTGGTAACCATCTGCAAACCACCCCTACCGACAGGCCTGCGCCTTCCTTTTCTCGAATATCTGGCTCCTCACTCTCCAACACTGTTCCCTCAGTCGTTCTTGGTGACTGCAATGTTCACACAGATAATCAATCCACCTACCACGCTGACACCTCAGTTCCTTGACCGCTCTGCCAATACTCTTGTCCTCCATCCTTCTTTAGCTACATAATCATACCTAGATCTTGCCATTGCCAGTAACTCCACCCCCTCCATGACCTTAATTTCAAGTTCCCACAGTCCAACCACTACCCTTTTCCTAGTTTCCAGCTTCAATAAATCTTACCCCCAACTGCAACCCCCAGGGCACAGATC